GCGTATAGAAGCGCCCTGCTGTGTTTATAAACCGAGGCCAAGCTATATTGGAAAATTAGCAACGATGTAAAATAAGGAGGGAAACGGAGTAATTCTAAAGTAAACATAAGTGAAAAATTGGAGGCGATGGTTTGTGTGGGTGGCCGGAGATGACCCCACAGGCCTCTGAGGTAGAGAGACGTACTAAGAGCCTGGGCTTTCCTGACAGTGAGCCCTTGTGGATGGAAGTTACCCTCGGAGCCCATTTTCCCCTTCTGAAATGGGAGTCCATTCCGTACGGGTGTTACTGAAACCTGACGTATGTATATTTCAACAGCTTACGCTCTGCATGGTCCTGCCAAGAAATCAAGGGCGTTAGGAAGGTGCTTATCAAGAATAACAATGTTAAGGAAACCAGGACAGGAGGGAAATGAGAGGAGAAAGGTGGACGGCAGGCACCTGCAGTGATGCTGGGATCCCAGGGACGCACTAGCAGTGCAGCCGCGCAGGAGTGGGGCCGAGCAGCCCCAGCGGCGCTGCAGACACTTTTCCGCCTGTGTCAACCGGAGAATTTGAGAAAACTACATTTTAAATTTGACGTCTGCATTTTTTACTTTTAAATTGTGAAGTATGTAATTGCCAACATATTATGAATTTCCAGGTAAAAATTACTTCACTTTTTAAGGTATCCAATGGAACCCTCTATTTTATTTTATTTTATTTTTTGGTTTTTGTTGTTGTTTGGAGTTTTGTTGTAGGGGGGGCAATTAGATTTATTTATTTTTGTTCACATTTTATTTTTTAATGGAGGTACTGGGGATTGAACCCAGGACCTTGTGCACACTACGCACTCTACCACTGAGTTATACCCTCCTCCCTAGAACCCCCTGTTTTAAAAGGTACATGAACATAGTTGGGGTACTAGGAGTGCTCATCACTATTAGGTTGATCATTGTTTCTAATCTTTTTCAATGGGAATAGGTTTTTAAAGAACATTTCCTGAGTTCATAAGAAAAATTTTTAAATAAAATGCTTTTATCTTCATATATGCGGCTCTATGAAAGAAAAAAAAATGCCCTGATTGGTAGCATTTGCCAATTCCATGGTGTAAATACTTCCCCATAGCTGATTTTAAGCTTGATGCCATTGGTCACTGAATGTGGAATTGGGAAAAGATGCTAACAATCAGCTCTCATGAGCTAGTGCTAAACTACTGATTTGATTCCAAGAGTCATAGGGAGCAATTGTTGGATTTTAAGAAGAGCAAGTAATCATCAGATTTGGGCTTTAGAGATGTGAAGGATGGAGGCAAGACTGAAGGCAGGTTGTGTTAGGTATCCTCTCTGTCCCTGCAGATCCTCTCTCCACCCTTCCCCTCTGTTCCCTGTGAAACTGGCCGCATGGACTACATCACTGCCTCCCTTCTGGTTGAGTTTGGCCAAAGACAGGCACCATAAGGAGAGTAGGGGTCTAAAGGCAGGACAGGTTAGGAGTCATTCTTCCAGGTCACTGAATTGGTTGCCCCTCCCCACCACAGGTGAGAGCTCCTTACAGGTAGCTGTCTCCAAATAACCACCTTCTCCCTACTGCAGTAAGCAATCCCTCCCCAAGTCCCTTCAGGCCCAGAGTGCTAATGATTCCCACTGTAACTAGCCCCAGGGACACTGCATTATCCATAAACCCCGCCCTGTTTCTTTATTAACTTTTCTTCAAATTACCAGTCTGAGTGTACCATCTGTTTCCTTCTGGGACTCTCACTGATACACAAGTGGACCAATTAAGGTCTCAATTAATGAGAGATTTGGTGGCCTGAACTGGATAGTGGTTGTTGGGATGAAAAGAGGTGGATGAATTCTAGAAATGTTTAAGAAGTAGAGTTGATTTACCAGATGTTGGAAGAGTGGAACACTGCAGAACACTGGGCCAGCAAGTACTCAGGAAGTATCCTGTGATCAAGAAAGTTTGGGAAGTGCTGTATTCCATCATTCTGCTTGGAAGTTCCAACACATGTAAACATATTAAAAAGCTTTGAGAAGTTCCATGGTCCAGAAACCAGCTTGACTTTGTATAACCCCGCTTTCCCCAAATATATTTGGCTATGCAGTCCCATCTCTTCTACTTTTCAAGAAGCTCTTCTTAGCCATCTATGAAATTCATGTTCCGTGGAACACACTTTGTGAAAGGCTGGAGAAAGAGAAGGCTAGAACAGAAACTGACTTTAACCTCTCAGTAAGTTTTGAATATTACTTACGAGACCAAAACAAAAATCAAAAATGTGTCTATGTGTGTCACATTTGCTGAAGAATTTTGGATTCCATTCAACAGTCTGAGTTTGATTAAATTATCTGTGAAACACTTTTTGGCCTCAAATTGCAGATATTTATTCTCAAAGTTGCCCCTACTTATCTAGAAAATAAGTTTGATATGATTATGTAAAAATGTGTACTTGATAAACTTATTATACTTGCCCACAATAACTGGCCTTTGTCTCTGGAGAAACATATTTCCAATACCTATAGGTACAGAGGCCCAGAGATCTGGATGGTAGGGGAAAAAACTGCAGATAGAGGTTGAAAATGCACGTGATTTTAAGAATGTTGTGATAGGAGTTTTCAAGGATAATTCCTTT